ATGATATCGAGGACAACTATTAGAAACCATCTGTGCGCATAATAGAACCGCCAAACGTGTCGCTTTTTCCACTTTTTATTATATAGCTAGCTCCGTGAGCGGGCACGATGAAATGAATCCTGTGCTGTGATTGGCTACCTGAGCGGGCAAGATGGCACTATCTCACCCGCTCGGGATCACCCGCTGAGTCCCGCAAGAACATAGTGTTCTTTTTCCATATAATTAATCATTTATTGACCAGCGTTGTTCGGTCAAGATGGCTGGATATTGGCCTCGTTCTTTTTTTTGCGTGCTCGTCTTGGTCCATAAACACGCAAAAAACGGTTGGCCAATATCCAGCCATCTTGACCTCACGCTTGGTCAATAACCCATAGATATAAGATGCTTGGAACACTTACAGTATCTTGTAAAGCAGTCCTTCTTTCTTTGATGACTTCTTTTGCCTTGGCCTGTGTAATTGCGCAGTCTTCAGCGAATTTTCGTCCTTCAGGCGTCATGCGGTAAATTTCATCTGAATGTAAAAGAGGGTTCCTAGATAGTGAAGAAATGTGTAAAGAAAACGAACAGTTTACACGGAGCAATAATTTATTTGCTAGCAGTTCAATGGTTTAGGCTAGCATAACGAACTTCATAGGAACTTATGACACAGGGTGAGTACGTATAAGTAGCCGGCGAACAGGCTTTTTTTCCTTTGTTCATCTCCTCGAAAAAATAAAACCTCTCAATTGCAGGTAAGCGCGAGTGAATGAGAGCGTTGTCGAGTGAGCACGTGGGTGAGAAAGCGAGTGAACGAGCATGTGAGCGACCCGCACGTTTTCTCAAAGGACACCCGCGAAGGTGAGAAACTAAACTTAATTAGTAGCACCCAACTAGTGGACTAATGCAAATCCTGCATTTTAATTGGCTACGCTACTAGAGGATTATTAGTAATAGTCCTCGAGTAGCGAAATAGGCGCAATCGAGCGTGACGCTTCCTTTCGTTTTATTCCCAAATAAATATTTCTTCAACTTGCATTTGCTAACTTTATTATTGCCTTTTCTGTCCGACTAAAACAATTAGATACTAAAACAATCAGACCCTTCGCCCTCAAGGGCCACGGGTCTAATTGTTAAGTAGATGATATTAATAACGCAGTAAGTGATTGAGAGAGAAGAAATAACAAGGTAAACAAATAGCCTGCGTAGCAGGTTGTAGAAGGGGAGGGAAAGGGTCAAAATTGAGCGAGGGAGGATCACGCTTTGAGGAGGGACAGCGTCCACTACCACCACGCGCTTCGCGCGCTCGTTTTTTCCCACTTTCCTCCCCTTCGGATGCCTGCCACGCAGGCTAGTAAACAAAAACAAATACCTACATGATTCTGCTTACGATCTCGTCAGTTGCTTCATAAACTGTTTTGATGTAAGGATTCTTTTTACTGTAAAGTAGATGATAATTTATGTCAATTTAATTATTGGTTCGCAGCTATTTACATGATGCACTTTGTAAACGTGATAGGACACCGCTGACTGAAGCTATCAGCCCATGCACGCTCACATTACAATAGTCTGAACACTAACAGTCAGTTATAATCCCTTTGTAGTTAACTGTCT